GCATACAAAATAATATATATATATATATATATATATATATTTGCGATTGTACAGCTAAGCGTGAATGAATTCTCCGCCGAAAGGAGACTCCTCACCAAACTACGTGTTTTGTTTTCATTAATGCCTGGATCGGGATTATCCATGAACACTGAAAAATACTTATCAAAGGAAGAAATACATTAGCACTACTAAAGTAGTTACATTCCATGGGGAATTGATATTCTATAAAAAAAACAGTAGCGAATAACTAGTAGTCATATGAGATGACCTCCAAAAATTGACCTTCATTAACTTTTTACCTATAAGGTTGTTTAACTTGAAGGTTAGTTATGGTGATTGCTTTATGGCTTGTTACAGTATTTAAAAGTTTTTAGGTCGAATTTGAAATTCTAAGCATATCTTTATGGAACTGGATATTACATGAATTTAGTGATGAGATTAGTAAAGACCTCTGACGGGACAGGATTATTCCTACGAATAGCCTAGACGAATGGATAGACTAGTGTAACCGGCAACAAATGATATGTATAAAATGAGTGTATGAAAAGGGAAGCTTTTGTACGGCTTACATTTTTGTAACAGAAACATTTTTTGACAGCGCTGATTTGTAGATCTGAATGCATCAACCAGAAAGTTGTTGGTTTTCATATATTTATTAGACGAGTATAAAAGTTAGTATGCCAAAGTTCAACAATAGCTTCCCACGGGATGCAAACTCACGAGTGACTTTGAGTTGACCAATCACAAAAAATGAGGATTTTTTGCACAAAAACGATGTATAAGAAAATTCACTAAAACACAATAAACAGGGTGTCTTTGTCTAACATGACTTAAAAATACGTTCCAGTTATAATGAGGAGTATCAGTTACTAAGTTAGACTAGTTTGTGTACATGTCTGTCTGTCTGTCTGGATTCAACATAGAACTTGGCACCGAAGTGCAGCAGTTCGAGTTGCCACCTTCCAAATAGCACACAGAGGTAGACAAGAAGATGAGTGAAGAGAATTTATAGAGTTTGACAAATATAAGAGTGAAACAGAATGGGTAATGGTAGAAAGGAATATGAAAGATTACAGAGATTGAATACATCTGCGCCATTGACAACGATTTTGAGCCATGTCACCTATTGTCTCCAGCCATTGATTCCTAGAGTCCCGAGGGCCCCAACCCGGGAGTCTGCATCTCCCTACCTGACTCAGTTTAACTGTCAAGGATTTCATGGATTGATGCCATGTTTTTGTTTGGCCACCACTGGCTCTTTTCCAACCTGAACCTATATCAGCTAACAATGCCCGTCGGGGGAGGCGGTGGTTAGGCATGCGCACCACGTGACCTAGCCATTTTAGTCTATGTAACTTTATAACCTCGTCGATTGATTTTCCCTCTTTGCCCAACACTCTACGCCTAACGTCAACATTACTTATCTTGTGAAACCACCTAACGTGAGACAGAGATCGCAGACATCTATGATCGAAAGCAGTCAACCTTTTCATGTCTTCAACGCGTATTGGCCATGTTTCAGAGCCATAGAGAAGGACGGAGCGAACTGATGAGCAGTACACACGTCCCTTGGTTGATAACCGGATGTCACGCCTACGCCAGAGATGGTGTAAGTCAGCGAAAGCAGCTCGAGCTTTTCGGATCCGTGCTGAGATTTCATCGCCAATCAGTCCGTTGGTGCTAATACAACTTCCCAAGTAGGTGAAGTGGTCAACATGTTCTATCACTTCACTCCCTATCACTAAGTTAGGGGTTGACGTCGTCCAGTCCTGTAGCAGCATCTTACATTTTGCAGGGGCGAATCGCATGCCAAACATACGAAGATTGCTGCTCAAGGTGTTCAGAAGACTCTGCATTTTGTCAGCATCCTCCCCTAACAGGACTATGTCATCTGCATATTCTAAGTCCATTAGATTATTCCCTGGTAACAAGTCGATTCCTAAGTCACTACGTTCAGTTAAGGATACTTCCATTAGCATATCTATGATGAAGTTAAACAGAAATGGGGAAAGTGGACATCCCTGTCGGACACCACTGGTTGTTACTAATTCAGATGACAATTCCCCATAAGCCCTTACACGACTACGTGAGTTTGAATAGAGTGCCTTGATTAGTGCGATGTACTTTCTTGGCACTCCCTTCACAGTCAGACATTGCCATAGTACTTTTCGGTCCACGGAGTCGAAGGCCGCCTTCAAGTCAAGAAATATGACATGTATTTACCAAGGTGACTGAATATGATCTGTTTTTGTGAATTGTTTGCCTCTCTTATCCTGTTGTGGAGTCTTCACCAAAAGCCCTCGGTTTGAATTACCATGGTTTCCCGTAAGAGGATCGACGACTTCTTACCAGGAAAATGTGGATAATAAAACAAACTAAAATAAGTGACGTCACCTCTGAATCTATCCCTAGTCGTAACCCTAACTTTACTCCTGACCATAATTACAACCTTTATCCTAACCCTAATCTTAATTATGACCATGGTCCTAACCCTATCCCCAATACTCTTACCTTAGCCCTAACGGACTATTAACAGATTGTCCAAAAAGTACTTAAAAACGTGAATAGCGTTGATATTTCAGCTATGGTAATGACAGGTGCCGTTAGCCAACAATTAGCATGCGTTGAAGGTTATTAGAGCGTTCCCAGCACTCCTGGGACGCTATTGTTGAACTTCGCTGATAATATAGCTATTTAGTAAAAAGATAAAGGTAATGCATCTTACTTATTGTTTTTTTTTATTAAATGTCGAACAGGACGTCTGTTTTTCAACAGGAGATATCAATTGGACATGCTATAAGAGAGTGTTCTTCAATTTTTTAAAATATTCTCAAGCTCCTTTGTGGTGTTGCTTGACTGACACTGATTGAAATGTTTCTGTTGTAGTCTTCTGCGTTACTTATATGCCACTGAACTTTATTTACAAAGAAGTGAAGTCGATGCCTTCAGTAATTGCTTATAATATCATTGAATTACATTATGTTCTTTCTTCGCGGTTTAATTTAAAATTTCAAGGGAAAAAATTGTGCCACCACATATTCGTTTATTTTTGTGTACAACCGAACCGCTTCCAGAATTTCATCTGGATTTTCCCTCCCTTATTTATAAGCTTTACCAATTTGTTTGACGTATAGAGAGATACAATGTCGTCTAATATGAACTTAAGTTTCATACATTTATTCTCTCCAATAAATTTGAATAAAGCAAGTGATTTTTGCAGAATAAAATGATACCATCATTGCTTATTTCGTTGGCTTCTCATCAGCTGCTTATATATCCAAAGTCATTATTAAATACAACTACGGAAACAGTTTCTATTGAGTTCATTTTTAAACAAAAAAAATCAATCAATATATGCATACAATGCTAATAATAATAATAATAGGCAAAAGAGTTCACTTCTCCTTAAATTTGCCGAAGTAATCCCCATTGAGCGCCTGAAACCAGATTTATGCCTTCAGAAAGAAGCGGTTATCAGTCTTTCCTTGGCAAGTCTGGTAAGTGGATGTTTTCATCCTCTCTGTCTCTCAACTGATTACTTAACGCCAAAAGTTTCCAATGTGTATGATCATTATTGTTTGGAATAAAGTGTTTATTATTATTATTAGCATTAGCATTGTATGCATATATTGATTGATTTTTGTTTAAAAACGAACTCTCAGTGCAAGTATATTGAAATTGTTTCTGTAGGTATATTTGATAATGACTTTGGGGTGTAGGCACCTGATGAGAAGCCAACGAAATAAATAATGGTATCATTTTATTCTGCAAAAGCTACTGTTGGTCTTGCTTTATCCAACTAAACTTAAGTGTTAATAAATATCCAGCTTTAGGATACTTTTTTGTCTAATTAGAGAACATTAATGATGACATATAAATATATAACCTTTTATATTGGGTTTATTCAGATATTACTTATGATAAACCACCTTTTAACAGGTTATCAGTGTTCCTCATGATTTTTGAGAAGTTCTCTTTTGTCTATTGCAGTTATGTATGATCATCAATGTTGTAGTAGTAGTAGTATTTTATTCCTTTACATTCCAGGTGGCACATATGGCTTCAAGCTGGAGTCTTGAGGTTTCAATAGCATTGGCTTTATTTGTGTTTGCTAGGTGGAGTTGCTAACCTCACGCCAACCCTCTCCTCTTTATCGGTCTTTCTACAAGCTTAGTAAGGTTTAGGACTACGCCGATGCGGGGCGGGGGGGGGTCGAAACCTGGACCACATACATCGTTGGCGAGCGTTCTACTGCTCTGAACCACCAACGCACAAAGTGCTTAACTCGAGGCGTTACTGAGACTCACTTCTCAGCTCTCTGAGCTAAGATCATGCATGTTATAGAAGTATACTTGAAAGTATTGATTAAATGCCGCCCATTTTGAAAATGTGTGTGATCATTAGTCTTATTAGTCATTATATTGTGACTATCTTTTATACTTCAATCTCAACTTTTAAATTTACGCTAATTCACAGACAATTTCAGTCTTCAGATGACCTCTGTGATTCTTACTTTTTCAAGTGTTGGTTTGTGGGGATTTGATTGGTTTCAGGATTACATCATGAGCTGACATCAGTTAGAGAACCATTGGAAAACCTGGGAGTAGTGGACAGCTGTTTTGTCCTAGTTTGGGACTCTTCAGCAGTACGGATCCACCGGGATTCGAACCCAGGACCTTCCGGTTACAAGGCGAGCTCGTATACCATTAAGCCACTATATACGAGCTCGCCTTGTAACCGGAAGGTCCTGGGTTCGAATCCCGGTGGATCCGCACTGATGAAGAGTCCCAAACTAGGACAAAACAGCTGTCCACTACTCCCAGGTTTTCCAATGGTTCTCTTACTAATGTCAGCTCATGATGAAATTCTTACTTTTTATTTGATGTTTTGTTTTTTCCACCTGTTTATTATTTAGTTTTGTTATCTTAATCCGTTATATCACTTGGGTTTATATGATTGATAATTCTTTTCTTTTTTTTTAACAAAAAATTCCCTTTCAGATTTATAATCGCTGATTGTTTATACTTGCTGAAACAGAATCAACTAAAAAGTGGCGTGCAAAGTGAACTGATCGATTATATAAGTGATAGTAAAATATGTATTAGTTGAAATTTTATATCGCCTCATGAAATAATGTGCACTTATGTATGTATTGAATAATATTTCCTAGTTTTGATTAATATTTACATTACATTTGAAATCAAATAATTCTTAAGTGTTTTGTTATTATTTTGTTTACAATTTCTTTGAAATCTAATAAATTATAATCCTGTGATATGTCTATGTGCTGCTTGTGTTTTTCTTTTTTTGTGCTCTCGTGTCAATTTGCTGGTTTTCAGGTGTTGTTTTATGCACAGTATATACACGTTAGTGGATTATTGTTAAGTGATGATAGAGCATTTCCAGCTTTGTAGTGATTTGCCTGTATGGATTATAAAACAGCTTGTTTCTATACCTGATGACTATTCAAGTTTCCATCGAATCGATAGAACGCACACTGAAATGTTGCTAGTCATCGGATTTTTTTTTCATTGTTTGTTTTGTACTTCAAACTGGAGGCGTAGGACTTACGTTATTATTGTGAGTAGCTTCACGGAATCGATATTTGACTACTTGACTTACAATGTTTAGAGGAGTGTAAGCAATCAGCTCAGTTGTTGTTGTTGTTGTTGTTATATTGTTAATTTCATGGAGGATTTCATCATGAGCTGACATCAGTTAGAGAACCACTGGAAAACCTGCAGGTAGTCCTGGACAGCTGTTTCGTCCTAGTTTGGAACCATTCATCAGCATGCACCCACCGGAGTTCAAATCAGTGACCTGGTTACAATGCGAGCTCGTAGACCATTGAGCCACTGAGATCCGGTCCAAAGATTCTTGAATTCTAACTTCTGCGTACTGAAAAAGAGTCCCATACTAAGACGAAACAGTTGTCCAGTACTCCCAGATTTTCCAGTGGTTCTCTAAATGTCAGCTCAGGATGAAATCCTCCATCCAATCACACAAAATCCCTACAAACCCATACTTGAATACTGCTAATTAACAACAATGCGACTATTGATTGCATTTCGTGAATTTTGTTATACACTTCTGTTTGTCTGTTTTTGACATAGAACTTTGCACATATGTGCGGCAGTTCGAGTCGCCATACTCCATGTAGCACACAAGGCAACTGAAGAAAGTAGAAGAAATGCATAATAGAGACACTAAGCAGAGGTGTGAGACAAAAGAAGAGTAATAACGAAGAACAAAACAGTTTCATTGAAAATCATAAGGATTGGATGCATCTGCGCCATTGAGAACGATTTTGGGCCATGTCACCAATTGTTTCCAACCATTGGTTTTTACCGTCCCGAGGACCCCAACCAGGAAGTCTACAGCTTCCTATGTGGCTTAGACTAACTGTTGTAGATTTCATTGACTGATGAGGCCATGTTTTTGTTTGACCACCGCTAGCTTTTTTCCAGCCTGACTCTATATCCGCTAACATTGCCCGTCAATCGAGGAAGGCGATGACTAGGCATACGTAACACATGACCTAACCATCTCAGTCGATGCAATTTCACAGCCTCGTCGATTGATTTCCCCTCCTTACCTAGAACTCGACGCCTAACCTCAATATTGCTCACCTTATTATACCACTTTACACGGGAAATAGAGCGCAGGCACCTATGATCAAAGACAGCTAATCTTTTCATGTCTTCCACTCTCAATGGCCAGGTCTCACAGCCATAAGGGAGGACGGAGCGGACTGATGAGCAGTACACCCGCCCTTTGGTCGATAGTCGGATATCTCGTCTACGCCAGAGTCGGCGTAAACTGTTATATGCGAAACTAGCCGTCTGTATCCGTGCTGAGATTTCGTCAGAGATTAACCCCCTGGCACTGGCTGATGGTACTTCCCAAATAAGTGAAGCGGTCAACGTGCTCTACCACTTCACTTCCTATTTCTAATCTAGGAGTCAGTGTAGTCCAGTCCTGTAACATTATCTTGCATTTGGCGGGAGCGAATCGCATGCCAAATATTCGTAGACTGGAGCTCAAGGTGTTTAGAAGATTCTGCATTTTTGTCAGCGTCCTCGCCTAGAAGGACTATATCGTCTGCATATTCTAAGTCGACGAGATTATTCCCTGGTAGCAAGTCAATTCGTGAGTCGCTGAAGTGAGTTACGGTTACGTCCATTAGTACATCTATGATGAGGTTGAATAGAAAAGGGGATAATAGGCGTCCTTGATGGACACTGCTAGTCGTCATCAGGTCAGATGACAACTCGCCGTAAGCCCTCACCTGGCTGATGGCATGAGTACGAGTAGAGTGCCTTAATCAGTGCAATGTATTTTCTCGCCATTCCCTTTACAGCCAAGCATCGCCAGAGAACGTCTCGGTCGACAGAATCGAATTCCGCCTTTAGGTCAAGAAATATAATGATTGTTGGACGCCGGTAGGAATTCCTATGTTCTAGAATCTGTCGGAGGGTGAAGATATGACCAATACATCCTCTTCCTGGTCTAAACCCTGCCTGGCTTTCATGTTTGTGCCTCCCGAGCACCACTTAGTCTACGCATGATTATTGAGCCTAGAACTTTAGATACTATATTAGTCAAGCTAATCCCTCTGTGATTATCACAAGAAGACTTGTCTCCCTTCTTGTATATGGGGATAATCAGTGACTTACACCAACCCGACGGGACTTTGGGGCCGACTTATTTTAACCCCCTATCTCCAGGGTGGAGAGACAGCATAGTCGGCATGCTGGTCATCTAAGGGAAACACCTCACTGCTGTTACACCCCCATTCCTCAGCAGTACGACTCCACCCTCAGACCCCAGCATACTGTAAGAAAGATTCTTACACGAAGCCGGTAACTGGTTTTAGTCTAATCGCTATCCTAACAACCTTCCTGGCATGGTGGGACCTGCAGGAACATTGGTTCCAGCCAGTATAGCTTGTTATGTCATTGCGATATGCACGTTCGACCGCCACGTCAAGGGGGCAGCTATCGGTCGGGTGTTATACACTTCGGCAACCTTGAAAACATTTCCACCGACGTGTTTATCATGTTTTCGTACAAAACTAGGCGATGACAAATCCGTTAATCAATGATTTTAAAACCGATAAGTTTTGTTACTCTAAGTAAGTTTAGAAATAAACAACGATTTTGAATTTATAATTTCCGTAAATACCACCGTTTTCACTTATGCTACTTGTTTTGCCTTCGGTAATGTATACTGCTTTTTTCATTCACTGACCGCCTGAATAACCTGATTATCACATGCGGTCTTGGTTTTTGCTTTGTAAGTTTAAGGAGTCAGTACACTAAAAAATTATTTAGACTGAAAGAGTGGCTTCTTTTTTCAAGCATATCACTCACACCACTGATGTTACGACTAACCAGATACATATACCTTTTTTGTTTCAACCATTAGCTGCAAGTGAGGGTAAGGGTAAATATTGCTGACTCTTGTGCAAAGTACTCCAAGTTTCGGATATTACAAGCAGCATAGTATTCATGTCCATGTTCGCCACCATCTTATCACTGCAAAGTCGCCATCCATAGTGTAAATCGTCAAGTAATGATCCGAAACGCATAGAAAATCGCACGCTATGAGGGCAACCACACAAGCACCGCGTGCTGATAAGGACGAGGACCCTAGGTCAACGATTACATCTGCAACCAATCATATTACAATTGGGTGAGAGGTGGAGGATCTTCTCATTAGTAGTCCGTCGCGTCGTCTTGGCAGGCCAATCCATCCACACTGTGCAGCTGACCTGAAATCAGGCAAGCATACAGTTGGAGCATATAGAGAGCGTCTGACTCAGCAGTCCGTGCAGTCTGTGTCCTGAAATGTGCTCCGACCTTGGTTGCTCATATAAACCAACCAGGTACTGGCGCGTGTAGTGTATGTGCCAGTAGATTCTGTAGGATTCGAAAGGTTACTCCTAAGTGTCAAGATCTTCTGAAGTAATGTTAATCGTGATAGATAGATAGACAGATTGACGGACAGCTAATCGATATATGTGAACCTTTGCCTCGGTTATGGCTAATTTAATATAACTCTCACCACGTGATGTGACCTTAAATGTTCTTTATTTCCTGTCACTCTATGGTGTGTATATACTTAATAAATTAACTGTTCATTTTGTCTGTTCCTTCAATACTGTTCGGTGTGTTTTTGTCTTTTCTTGAGTTACAATGGATTTATGCGTTTCTTGGTGTAATTGTACGCCTTATTTTATGTTTTAGAAACAGATAAAGTTTAATTCAATTTACACTGTTTTTAACTATAGTTAAGCCAAGATTCTGTATCGTCAGTACTGAAGAAGGACTAATCCTACAGTAGATCCCTTTGTAATTAGTGTTTGTAATATGCAATCAGACCAATTGTCAGCCAACTCTTATAAACTGTCAATGTCCAACACTTACTACGCTGTCCCTGGAAGACTTTCAGGAATAATTTGCAATAACCAACGCCAAGAACCAGAACACAGATTGGCGACTCGAGAATCATTTATTCTTACGCCAATATGTAACCAACAATAAGGTAATCACACACAAGATATAAGAATAAATGTTATAACAATAAATCACGAAAATACTTCTGATAGTTTTCTGTTTTCCACTGAACAGAAAACAATGAGACGATGACTGCTGGATTGATGACTCCCTCGAAAAATATGGAAGAGTTGGTTTTCAGGAAACAACCATGAATTCATCGTTCAATCTTCACCTACATTGGCACCAATATATATTAATTTGCAATTTTTGTCGCTTCTACATATCGGAATAATCCAACGAGCAACTCTCACTGGGAAAATGTTTCTGAGGGCAGCATCGTTCCAAATCTGTTGTTCGAAGAGTAGTTGTATAGAAGCCCTTAGGTCACGTGACATTAACACTGTTGCTTCTACTTCAAGAAAAAGTCATTCTCCACGGTGTGTGCGTAGCGAACTAATCACTTCTAGGTGTGTTCAGCATCTTCATCGTCAGGTACACCTTATTACCTTCCCCCCACTGTTAATATTTATCCACAGGTAAGTCATGCACATTCTCTGCAACCGTTTGCGGTAGTTCCAGCCAAAGGAACATTGCTGATGACCCGTTAAC